TTTAGTTTATTCATTATTTAATTTTTCGATTTTACAATTTCTCAATTTTTCGATTTCTCAGTTTTCCGATGTTTACGTGCTTCCAATTTTTCTCCTCTTCAATTTTACAATTTTAAAATATTTGGTTTTTGCAATTTTTCAAATTTGATTTTTATAAACTCTGAGTTTTACAATTTTTCATTGCTTCAATTCTTCAATTTTTAAATTTTTTAGGTTTTTGATTTTTCAGTTTTTTAATTTTTTAAGGCTGTGATTTTTCGGCTTCACTTTTCTGACTTTCTGATTTATCATTTTTTCAATTTTTTAATTTCTCAGTTTTTTGATATTTCAGTTTTGAAATTTTTTCAATTCTTCAGCTTTTCTTTCGTTTTTCAATTTTTCTCTTCAATTTTACGACTTTGATATATTTCAATTTTTAATTTTTTTAATTTTTTACTTTTGTAAATTCTCACCGTTTCTATTTTTCAATTAATCGAAGCTTTGATTTTCCCATTTCTTGACTTTCGACTGTATCGATTTTCCAGTTCTTCAGTTTTTCTTTAATTTTTCAGTTTTTCAATATTTCAGTTTTGCGATTTTTCAATATTCCGGTCCTTCGACTTTTAGATTTTTGACTTCTGGACTTTTCGATGCGTCGATGTTCTCGATTTTTAAATTTTTTGATATTTTAATTTTTCAATTTTGAAAATTATATATATTTTTCGATTTCTCGACTTTTGATTTTCGTTCGATATTTCCCAAGTTTTCGAATTCCCGGTTTTAGATGTTCGGATTTTCAATTTTTCGTTTTTTCAAATCTTCGATTTTTTAATTTTTGATTTTTTAATTTTTGATTTTTTTATTTTTTCAATTTTTAGGTTTTTGACTTTTCAGTTTTTCAATTTTTTAAGGTTTTGAGTTTCGACTTCACTTTTTTGACAGATTATTTGTTATTCAATTTTTCGGTTTTACAATTTCTCAATTTTCAATTCCTCGATTTTCAATTTTTCTCTTCAATTTTACGATTATTAAATATTTCGAGTTTTCAATTTATCAATTTTTGAATGATCTAATTTCTCAATTTTCCGATGTTTCAATTTTAAGTTTTGAAGGTTTTCCAATCTTTCTCCTCTTCAATTTTACGATTTTTAAATATTTGGTTCTTGCAAATTTTCAATTTTCACTTATATAAACTCTCAGTTTTTCGGTTTTTCATTTATTCAATTCTTCAATTTTTAAATTTTTTAAGTTTTTGATTTTTCAGTTTTTAATTTTTTAAGGTTGTGATTTTTCGACTTCACTTTTTTGACTTTCTGTTTTCTCATTTTTTCAATTTTTTAATTTCCCAGTTTTGAGATTTTTTCAATTCTTCAGCTTTTCTTTCGTTTTTCAATTTTTCTCTTCAATTTTACGATTTTGATATATTTCAATTTTTCATTTTTTTAATAAAGACTTTTGTAAATTCTCAATGTTTCTATTTTTCAATTAATCGATGCTTTGATTTTCCGATTTCTTGACTTTCGACTGTTTCGATTTTCTTTCATTTTTCAGTTTTTCGATATTTCAGTTTTGGGATTTTTCAGTATTCCGATCCTTCGACTTTTCGATTTTTGACTTCTGGACTTTTCGATGTTCTCGATTTTTAAGTTTGAGATTTTCCAATTTTTTGATGTTTTAATTTTTCAATTTTTAAAATTATATATTTTTCGATTTCTCAATTTTTGATTTTCGTTCTTCGATATTTCTCAATTTTTCGACTTCCCGGTTGTAGATTTTCGGATTTTCAATTTTTCGTTTTTTCAATTTTCGATTTTTTAATTTTTAAGGCTTTGAGTTTCGACTTCACTTTTTTGACATTTTGATTTCTCAACTTCACTTTTTTGACATTTTGATTTCTCAATTTTTCAATTCTTAATTTTTCAGTTTTTGGATATTTTAGTTGTGATTTTTCAGTTTTTCTTTCATTTTTCAATTTTTAGGAATTTCAGCTTGGAAAATCAACACTTCGAAAAGTCGAAAAAAAAAATTGATGCAAAACCGAGAAGTCGAAAAATCTAGAATTCAAAAAATCGAAAAATTCAAACTGAAAACTCGAAAAGCTGGAAAATACAAAAATCGAGAAATCGAAGAAATAGAAAAGTCGGGAAGTCGAAAAATCGATAAATCAGACCAACATTCGAAATATCGAAGTGGAATCAAAATTCAAAAAATCTAAAAATTGAAAAATCGAATTTGAGAAATCGAAAAATTGAAACGGGGGAATTTAAAAAAAAATAAAAAAAAATCTAAAAAACGAAAAGTCGAGAAATCGAAAGAACGAAGACTAAAAAATCGAAAAATTGAAAAATCGTAAAGTAGAAAAATCGTGAAATCGAAAAGTCGTAAATCCAAATTTTGAAAAATTCAAATATCGAAAATCCAGAAATCGAAAAGTCGAAAAATTGGGAACTCAAAATTAGAGAAGTCGAAAAATCGAATAGTGGGAAGGCTCCAAAAATTGTGCAACCGAAAAGTCGAAAAATTGAAAAATCCAAAAATTGGAAAATTGAGGTCCAAAAATTCGATAAAAAAATCCAAAAATCGAGAAGTCTATAAATCGAAAAAAAAATTCGGGGAGTCGGAAAATACAGAAATCGAAAAGTTGAAAAATCGAAAATCTGAGAAATCGAAAATTCAAAAAATTGGAAAATCCAAAAATTGGAATTATCAAGAAATCAGATATTCGAAAAGTTGAACGGTTAAGAACCGAAAAGTTGAAAAACTGGAAAATTAAAAAATCCAAAAATTGAAAAGTGGAAAAATCAAAAAAATCCAAAAATCGAAAATTTGAAGAATCAAGAAAAGTCAGGAAATCGAAAATTCGATAAGTCGAGCGTGGGAAATATTGAAGTCGAAAAATTGAAGAATCAAAAAATCAAAAAATCTAAAAATTGAAAAATTGAAGTTGAGGAATCGAAAAATTGAGGTGAAAAATAAAAAAAATTAAAAAATCGAAAAATCGGGAAATCGAAAGAACGAAGAATAAAAAAATCGAAAAATTGAAAAATCAAAAGTCCAAAAATTGAGAAGTCAAAAAATCCAAAAATCGAAAAGTCGGAAAATCCAAAACCTGAGAATTCGAAAATTTGAAAAATCGGATAATCCAAAAACCGAAAAGGTAAAGAATCCAAAAATCGAAAAGTCGGAATTAAAATCCACACATCGAAAAATCGAGAAGTCGAAAAGTCGAAATGTCGGAAAATTGAGAAATCAAAAAGTCGAAAAATCGTAAAGTCAAAAGATGGAAAATTTGAACAATCGATCCAAAAATTCGGGAAATCGAAAAGATGAAAAATAGAAAAATGAAAAATCGAGAAATCAAAAATTCCAGAACTCAAAAGATCGAGAAATTGAAAAGTCAGAAAATCCAAAAATCGAGAAATTGAAGCCCAAAAAGACAAAAAATCAAAAAATCGATCAAAAAGTCGAGAAATCGAAAATTCAAAAAATGGATAATTCGAGAATTCGAACATTCAAAATATCAAAGTCGGAAAATCGAAGAATTAAAAAATTGAACATTCAAAAAATGAAAAAAACCAAACATTGAAAAATTTCAGTTGAGTAATAAAAAAGAATATAAAATGAAAAAAATGAAAAACCGGAAGTCCAAAAATGGAGAAATCAAAAATCGAAAATAAAATTTCGGGAAGTCGAAAAATCCAGAAATCATCGAAAAAATCCAAAATTTGAGAAATCAAAAAATTGAAAAATTGAAGTCGAGAAGTTGAAAAAATAGAAAAGTCGAAAAATCGAAAGGCCAAACATGGAGAAGTCAAAGAATCGAAAAATAAAAAATTTGGAAAGTCGAAATGTCCAGAAATCGATAAGTCGGAAAATGGAAAATCCAAAAATTGAATTGAACTTGGAAAGTTGAAAAATCGAAAAATTCAACAGTCAAAAAATCGAGAACTCTAAAACTTGGCAAATCCAAAAATTGAGAAATTATAAAGTCGAAAAATCCAAAAATAAAAAAGCAGATAGGTATTTGAAAAGTTGACCAATTGAAAGTCGAAAAGTCTAGAATTCGAAAAATTCAAATTTGAACCTCGAAAAGCTGGAAAAACCAAAAATCAAGAAATCTACGAGTCGAAAAATCCAAAAATCGAACAGTAGGAAAGTCGATGGAATTTTTCAGATTATATTTGTTATTAAATTTTTCGGTTTTACAATTTCTCAATTTTCAATTCCTCGATTTTCAATTTTTCTCTTCAATTTTACGATTATTAAATATTTCGAGTTTTTAATTTATCAATTTTTTAATTTTCTAATTTCTCAATTTTTCAATTTTTCGATTTCTCAATATTCCGATGTTTCATTTTTTAATTTTGAAGTTTTTCCAATTTTTCTCCTCTTCAATTTTACGATTTTTAAATATTTTGTTCTTGCAATTTTTCAAATTTTTCAGTTTTATAAACTCTCAAATACTAATGTTTCTATTTTTCAATTAATCGATGCTTTGATTTTTCCATTTCTTGACTTTCGACTGTTTCCATTTACCTGTTCTTTAGTTCTTCAATTTTTCGATTTTTCAGGTTTTTCATTTTTCAATTTTGCTGAAGGTTTTGATTTCTGAATTTTCATTTCAGTTCTTCGATAGTTCAGTTTCTCAAGTTTTCGAATTTTCCAAATGATTTCTTAATCTTTCCATCTTTCGACTTTCCGGTTTTAGATTATCCAGAATCTAACTATTAAAATGCGAGCGCAGTGAGCACATTCAGGTCGTTTAAGTCTGCAACTAATAAATAAAAAATTTACTAACTTTTTTCTTAGTAATTTAGTTTCTCAGATGAACTATTTTTAGTAACACCTGGACGAAATTTATTCTCGATACTATGGAGAAATCACTAAAATACGAGCGCAGCGAGCACTAGAAATCTTCCTATAGGATGTGAAAGTATCTTGGGGAGTTCTGCTGTCTTAATTTTGAAAAAAATCTGAAAAAAATCGGTGACTCCTGGTGTTCATTCATTTCTTGTCCACAGAGGCATAGTTTCATTGCTTTGGTGGTTGGCGGCGACCTTCCTCCACCAAATCAACCCAAATGTAGCCATCCAGTACACACCAGTCGACCTCGCCGGGAACGGCGACGGAGAGTGCGCGCTTCTTCTGAACGGACCAGCAAGAAGTAGCCAGTTTGACTACTCCCTAAACTTGTTACGCGGAACTCCCTTGTAAGTACTCAATCCTGTGCTAGTACCACCATTATCGCCCTCATTTCCAGAGAATACAACGGCCCTCACACTTGCATCACTTACGACGCCGTCAACGCGGCGTACCTCGACGCCAGAAAAAGAATCCGTAAGTCTGTAACTTAGTTCATCTTCTGATTCTAACAACAGTGTTGCAGACATCGCGCAACCACACGGCGACTGGAAACCCGAAGACGTGGCCACCGTCGGCGAACTCCTCCTCGACGTATCCGTAAATCTAGCGCGAACGTAAGTTTTTTTGAAAAATCTAGATCTGTTTTGACGTTTGTAAACTAGGTACGGTTTGAGCTATGAAGACATCGAGAAAGGGCTGCCTCTGATCGACACTAGTAAGACCCTAATTCGGGAAGTGTGCCCCCCGTACTTGTCCAACGTGGAGTGCAGGGCTGGGAAGTACCGTCGTTTCGACGGGTTGTGCACCAACCTGGAGCACCCGACCTGGGGCGCCGTTAACACTCCGTTTACAAGGTAAGTGACTTTAACAGATTTCGTAATTCGCTAATGGTACTCTAAGTGTGTCGAAGACGTGGCCTTGACAAAAAAAACTGTTTTCCTCTGAGTTATTAAGTTATCCAAAGAAAGGCTATTAAGACCAATTAAGTCAAAATTTCACCCATTCGGTATTAATTTATTCAAATAATCTAATCCGACCATCGTTCGACAATTTATTATCGCCTTTATCGGCGCGATTAATTTAAATGCGAATTTTGATTAAGTCTGGTAGAAATTTCGGACTATCGACTTTATGTTTTCCAGGAAGAACACGCATCCACTTGTTAATTGTTTCAGTAAAAGAAAGTTTCACTTAAACCCGCTAACGTAGAATTAGCACTTCACAAACTTGATTGATGGAAGATGCTGATATTGAAAGAAATCGTTTGTCCTTTGGCGAATTCGAACATTAATAATAGTGCTGTTCATAAACGTTTGTTGGCCATGACCCAAGTGTCGAAAAGATTTTGAGCAAATTATGCCGCTTTTAAAGATTATTATTTGCAAATGGTGTATTACTGGTTGCCTACTGAATTCATTATCACAGTAAAGAAGTAATTTAAAGGTTTCGGATCCAATCCAATGAGTATTTACGTTTTCTACTTCCGCAACAAAGTTGTAACCTTTAAAAAAAGTCAGTGACAGTGACAAACAACAATAAATATGAGTATTACTGGTTGCCTACCCAATCCATTATCTAAAAAAAGATAACTACGTCGACTGTGTTTATTTTCAATACATTGTATGATATTAACAAAGTCGAAAAATTGAAAAATACAAATATCGAAGAACTGAAAATCAAAAAATCAAAAAACAAAAATTTGAAAACCTTAAATTTAAAAAGCGAAAAACGAAAATTCACTTTTCAATTTCTCGATTATTCGATGTTTCAGTTTTTCAATTTTTGGATGTTTCGACTTTTTGATTTTTCGATTTTTCGACTTTTCGGCCTTTCAATTAATAGATTTTTCGATTTTTCAGTTCTTCAATTTTTCGATTTCCCAATTTTTGTCATTTCCGTTTTGGAATTTTTCACTTTATCCATTTTTTAGTTTTTTGACTCAATTTTCCATTTTTCAAATTTTGAATTTTTGGATTTCACGATTTTTCGGTTTTTTGATTTTCCAATTTTTAGTTTTCCCACTTTTTCGATATTTCGACTTTCTGAGTTTTCGATTTCTCAATTTTTCACTTTTTCGATTTCTGGATAATCTGCTTTTTCGATTTTTTGAGATTTCAATTTGTCGGTTTCGAACAATTTTTCTTAAAATTTTTAATTTTTTAGTTTTTCGATTTTTCAATATTTAGATTTCTCTTTTTATCGATATTTTTTGAATTTTAAAATTTTCACTTTTTTAGTTTTAAATTTTCAATGTTTCATTTTTTAACTTTCGAATTTTTCGATTTTAGGGTATTTCTATTTTTCGATATTTTCGACTTTTCGACTTTTCAATTTCCCGATTTCCCCAGTTTTTTCAAATTTTTGAATGTTTCGATTTCTTGGTTTCTCGCTTTTTTCGATTTTTTGATTTTCGGCTTGTCGATTATCAGGGTTTTCGATTCTTCAGTTTTCCAGTTTTCCAATTTCCAAATTTTTCGTCATTTCAGTGTTGGAATTCTTCAATTTATCGATTTTTTTAATTTAATTTTTTTTAATTTTTAATTTTCAACTTTTCGATTTTCCGATTTTTCGGCGCCTCCAATTTTCCATTTCTCAAGTTTTCACTTTTTCGATTTTTTTTTTTTTGATATTCCAATTTCCCGATTTTTCAGTCTTCAATTTTCCTATATTCTAATTTTTCAATTTTTGCAATTCTAGGTTTTTTGATTTCTCGATTTTTCAATTTTTCAGTTCTTGGGTATTTCTATTTCTTCATTTTTTTAATTTTTAAATGTCAGTTTTTTAATGTTTCGATTTTTCGACTTCACACCTTTTGATTTCTCGATTTTTAAAACTTTCGATTTCTGGATTTTTTACTTTTTCGATTTTTTGAGATTTCAATTTGTCGGTTTCTAACAATTTTTCTTAAAATTTTTAATTTTCCAGTTTTTCGATTTTTCAAGTTTTGGCTTTCTCTATTTATCGATATTTTTTAAATTTTACAATTTTCACTTTTTTAGTTTTAAAATTTTCAATTTTTCATTTTTTAACTTTCGGATTTTTCGATTTGAGGGTATTTCTATTTTTCGATATTTTCGACTTCTCGACTTTTCAATTTCTCGATTTCTCCAGTTTTTTCAAATTTTTGAATGTTGCGATTTCTTGGTTTCTCGCTTTTTTCGATTTTTCGATTTTCGGCTTGTCGATTACCAGAGTTTTCGATTCTTCAGTTTTCCAGTTTTCCAATTTTCCAATTTTTCGTCATTTCAGTTTTGGAATTCTTCAATTTATCCCGATTTTTCGACGCCTCGAATTTTCCATTTCTCAATTTTTCGATGTTTTAGTTTTTCAATTTTTTGATATTTCGATTTTTCAATTTCTTGATTTCCCAATTTTTCCTGATACAGTTTGGAACTTTTTAATTTCTCGATGTTTCAGTTTTTTGATTTTTCAATTTTCCAATTTTTAGATTTCTCAAATTTTTGATGTTTTAGTTTTGGATTTTTCAGTTTTTAGATTCTTCAGTTTTTCTCGATCTTCCAATTTTTCAATATTTCGACTTTTCAAGTTTTCACTTTTTCGATTTTTGAATCTACTGATTTTTCAATTTTTTTTGTTATTCCAATTTCCCGATTTTGCAATCTTCAATTTTCCTATATTCTAATTTTTCAATTTTTGCAATTCTAGGTTTTTTGATTTCTCGATTTTTCAATTTTTCAGGTCTTGAGTATTTCTATTTCTTTATTTTTTTAATTTTTAAATGTTTTTTCGACTTCACAGCTTTTGATTTCTCGGTTTTTAAAACTTTTCGATTTTTCACTTTTCCGATTTTTCAATTTTTAACTTTTGAATTTTTCAATTTTGGGATACTTCTGTTTTTCGATATTTTTCAACTTCCCAACTTTCCAATTTCTCGATTTCTCCACGTTTCAGTTTTTCAATTTTTGAATGTTTCGATTTTTTGATTATATATTCGCTTTTTCGGATTTTTTGATTTTGAAAATCTAAAATTTAAAAACCGAAAAACGAAGATCGAAAAATCAAACTCCAAAATTTAAAAAATCGAGAAATCGGAAAATCTAAAATTTAAAAATTGAAAAAGTAAAAAAATCGACACATCGAAAAATCCAGAAGTCAAAAATCGAAAAGTCAAAGAATCAAATTATTTGAAAAATGCCAAAACTGAAATATCGAAAAATTGAAAACTGAAAGAAAAAACTGAAGAATGGAAAAACTTAAAAATCCCAAAACTCAAAAACTGAAAAGTCGAAACAGTCGAAAGTCAAGAAATGGGAAAACCAAGACAGATTAATTGAAAAATCGAAAATTTGAGAGCTTATAAAAGTCAAAAATTGAAAAATCGCAATATTTAAAGATCGCAAAATTGAAAAATTGTAAAACCGAAAAATTGAATAATAAATAAAAAAACTGAAATTTCGAAAAATTGAAAAATGAAAGACAAACCGAAAAATTCCAAAAGTGAAATATCTAAAAACTGAGAAATTAAAAAACTGAAAAATTGACTAATCAAAAAATCAAAAAGTGAAGTCGAAAAATCTAAACCAGACAAATAGAAAAATTGAAAAATCAAAAACCTGAAAAATCGAAAAATCGAAGAATTTAAAAACTCAAAAATCGAAACAGTCGAATGTCAAGAAATAGGAAAATTGATTAACTCTTGAACGCTTAAAGTCGACATTGGCTTGAGTGCACTCTGATCTATAGATCAAACAAGTTCTCAGACAACGACTATATTTTACGTAATTTGGTCACGAAGTTGGTACTACCTTCCCTTCCAGATTAATCGGTCCCCTCTACGCCGACGGCATGACCGCCCCCCGCATCAGCGTAACCGGAAGACCTCTGCCCCTCTCCCGGATCGTTTCCCGGACCATGCACCCAGACGAAGGCTTCCACGACCACGCCGGTACTGTCATGGTCATCGCTTGGGGACAATTCATGGATCACGACTACACTTTGACGGCAACACCTCTGGGTACTCCCCCCATGTCCACTTTCCCCACACTAAACCAACCTTGTTACAGACCCATTGAACCGGAACGACCCTGAGGAGTGCTGCCATCGCCCTGCCCACCTTAAGCACCCTTACTGTAACGAGATCATCATCCCCGACGACGACTACTTCTACAGGTTGTTCAACGTGAAGTGTCTTGATTTCGTGCGAGGTTTCCCGGCGGCTAGACCTGGATGTAGATTAGGTACGACTTTGAGAATTTGAAGGTAGTACTGATGCTTAATACATTTTGTACAGGTTCCAGGGTGCCGTTCAATACCTTGACGGGAGTTCTGGATGGCAATACGGTTTATGGAGTGACGGAAAAGTTCGCACGGTGGGTACTTACTTTCACGGTTCGTGAATAGTACTGAAGTGTGTTGGTTTCAGGAAACTGAGGAGCGGTTATGGAGGGTTGTTGAGAATGAACCCGGCGTTTGAAGAATACGGGTTGAAGGATTTGTTACCGCTTAAGCTTGACATTCCAGACGAGGGGTGCACCAGACCCAATAGTACTATGTACTGTTTCGAAGCAGGGGAGATTCGTGTGAACGAGCAACTGGTACTCACTTGTATGCATACTTTGATGGCACGAGAACACAACAGAGTGGCTAAAGCTTTGGCACAAGTGAATCCACACTGGGACGACGAAACCCTCTTCCAAGTGAGTTGGTACTGAAGTCGTACTTTCAAAAATATCAACAATCGTGGTTTTGTAGGAAGCCCGTCGTGTTAACATCGCCATAATCCAACATATCACTTTTAACGAGTTTCTTCCGATTCTTCTGGGGAAAGACGTGATGCAGAAATTCGGGCTATTATTACAGAAAGATGGGTATTGGGATGGGTTCGACCCTAGTGTCAACCCCAACGTGATTGACGCTTTCGCTGCAGCAGCTTACAGATTCGGGCACTCTCTTCTACCCACTGCAGTAGAGAGGTGGAGCAAAGCCCACAAGTTCATCGGTACCAACTAAATTTTCTTTAATGAACACAGTTAAATTAAATATTTTTTAATTTAGCTTCCAAGCGACTTTCTGACTTGATCCGCCGCCCGTACGACCTCTACAGAGCCGGCATCTTCGACGAGTACCTCATGGGTCTAATGAATCAAGTAGCCCAAGCCATGGACGACTCGATCACTCAGGAAGTCACCAACCACCTATTCAAGAAAGCTGGTGCCCGATTTGGCATGGATTTAGTGAGCTTGAACATGCAAAGAGGTCGTGAATTTGGAATCCCCGGGTACATGGAGTTCCGAAAGTTCTGTGGACTTCCTGGTGCCAACAGCTTCGAGGAGTTGTTTGGGTCCATGCCTAACGAAACCGTACGAAAGTACTCAACCATCTTTGAGTAAGTATTGGGTTCTGAAAAACGAAGAGTTATAACTCGGGTTGTAGGCACCCCAGTGACGTTGATCTTTGGTCGGGTGGCGTTTCCGAGCGCCCACTTCCTGGTAGCATGTTGGGTCCCACTTTCGCCTGTATCATAGCCACCCAATTCAGTTACTCGAGACGCGGCGACCGATTCTGGTACGAACTACCCAACCAACCATCCTCCTTCACTCCAGAGCAACTCCAAGAGATTCGGAAGGCGAGGTTGGCCCGAATCATTTGTGACAACACGGATCTGATAGACACGATTCAACTGTACCCCATGGTACTACCCGACCACGAAATGTGAGTACCACAAATGTTCATCTGTCTCTACTGACCTTGAAATTTTGCTTGTAGCAACCCGAGAGTACCGTGTCGCAGCGGTGTGATCCCAGGTATGGATTTCAGCAAGTGGGCGGAGTTCCCGCAAACCAGAAGCAGCATGTTCTTCAGCAGCCACGCCTACGAGCCCCTAGTAGGAAAGAAATAATCTAGTTGTTAATTCTATGTACAGATGCCATCGTATTATTTATTGTAATGCCAAGAGATGATCGCACGAGCAAAACGCATCCGGGAAGATGCAAAAACGCATCTTGTCAGAACAGATTGTTTGCTTCTGCGATTGTCGTAGATAGATACATCAGAACATTAAATTTGTAAATAGTTAAGTCATATCTCATCTATGCATTTAAATGTGAACCATTGTATTTATGTTTTTTTTTTGTATTGATTACATGAGTATTTGAGTTTCTACCTCTGTAGAAATTTTTAGTCCGAGAGATGGATAGTGTGGAAAGTTAACCATAAAGATAGCCTTTAGATCTACTCAAAAATTTTATTTTGTATATATTGTTGTAATAATTTATTGAAAACTCATGTATAAATGTATACTTTATTATATATTTTTAAATAAACGTGTTTTATTGTTGAATGAATAAATCTATCCCACCGACTGCTCCATTTTCACTACCTCCATGGTCTACTAATGTCTACATTTTTTTTTTGTCTTACAAAATCTTCTAACTAAATTGTATTCAAAGTATTTATGCTGTGTTCTTCACAATATTTTGTTTTTCCTTTTTCTTCAATTTTACTTGATATCACAATCGTTTTTTAAACTTTAATTTTTCAGTTTTTCAATTTGCAATTTTTCGTTATTGAATTTTTAATTCTTTGATTTTTCAGTTTCTTAATTTTTAATTTTTCGATTTTTCACTTTTTTGTTTCCGCAAATTTTCACTTGATTTTTATTTTTCAATTTCTCAATTTTTTAATTTTCACTTTCTCCATTTTATATCATAATCTCGATTTTAGAATTTTTAAATTCTTCAATTTTGCAATATTTGAATTTCCCAATTATTCCTTTTTTTCCGATTTCTTTGATTTTCAATATTTCGTTTCTTCAATTTTTCAGGTTTTTGATTTTCAATTTTTTGATATCTCACAGTTTTTATTTGTAAATTTTCCTTTTTTTATTCGAAAAAACCGAAAAATTGCAAAAGGAAGAACTGAAACATCAAAAAACTAAAAATCGAGAAACTTAAAAATCGAAAAAAATAATGATTCGAAAAATTGCAAATCAGAGAATTGAGAAAACATTGAAAAACTAAAAATCAAAAATCATTGATGAATCGAAAAATTGGATAGAAAAAATGAATCGAATGGAAAATTTGAAAGGACTCGAAAAATTAAGAAATCGAAAATCACTGAACAACCGAAAAATCTATCATTTGAAAAAGTCGAAAAATCGAAAAATCGCAAAATTGAAAACTCGAGAAACTGAGAAATCGAAAAATCAAAAAGTGGAGAAGTCTAAAAATGGAGAAATTGAAAATTCTAAAAATTGTAAAATCGATTAATTGCGGAGTCAAAAAATGGATAAAATCGTATAAGCTGAAAAATTAACAATTTGGATCATCGAAACGTTGAAAAATGGAACAACTTAAAAATCCAAAATTCCAGAAATTGAAAAATCGGAAAGTGCAAAAAAGTCAAATTATTGAAAAATTTGAAACGCTGAGAAATTCAAAATCGAAACAATGGAAAATTGGGAAATCGAAAATTCTAAAAATTGAGAAATTGAAAAACTGTAAAATCGTAAAAAAACGAATGCAATCGAAAATTTAAAAGGAGTCGAATAATCGAGAAATCGAATTTTTAAAAATTGAGAAATCGGAAAATTGTAAAATCGATATATTGACAAACTGAGGAACGACAAATCTACAATACCAAACATCGAAAAATGGAAAACTGGGAAAACTAAAAAAAAATCTAGGAATTGAAAAAGTCGAAGAATCGTGAAATCGAAAAATTGTAGAGTCAAAAAATCAAATAATCGTAAAATGTAGAAATCGAGAAATCGAAAAGTTGAAATATTAACAATTTGAATCATCGAAAAGGCAAAAAATGGGAAAACTGAAAAATCTAAAATTTGAGAAATTGAAAAATCGAGAAGGTGAAAAATCTAATAGTCCGTAAATCGAGAACTGGAACGAAAAATCTAAAAGTCGAAAAATGGAGAATTCGAAAAGTTGAAAAATATAGAAATCGAGAAATCGAAAATATGAAAAATTGAAAAGTCTAAAAATTTGAAAAATCGCAAATCTATAGAATTGAAAAATCGAAATTTGGAAACATCCAACAGTCGAAAAATTGAAAAATCAAAAAATTAAAACATCCAAAACATTGAAATATGGAGAAACAGAAAAATAAAAAACCATAGAATTTTCTTGATTTCCAATTTTTAGGTTTTTCAAAGTTTTCATTTTATACTTCTTCGTTTTTTCATTTTTAATAGTTGAATTTTACAATTTTGCAATTTTTATTACATTTTCTTGATTCGAAAAACTGAAAAATCGAAAAATTAAAAACCGAACAACTGAAAAAACTAGAAAATGCAAAATCGAAAAATTGGATAGGAAAAACGAATGGAATCGAAAATTTGAAAAGTCGAAAAATAAAAAAAAATCAAAATTAAAAAATCCAGAAATTGAAAATTAAAAAATCGAAATGTCGAAAAACCGAGAAATTGAATATTTTAAAAATTGAGAAAGATGGTAAAATAAAAAAATATACAAATCGAGAAATCGGAAAATTGAAAAATGGAAAATTCGAGAAACTTAAAAATAAAAAGCCATGAAATTTTCTTTATTTCCAGTTTTTAGGTTCTTCAAAGTGTTCGTTTCATACATTTTCGTTTTTTTCATTATTTGATTTTTCAATTTTTACATTTTTTTATTCGAAAAGTTAAAAAATCGAAAAGCTGAAAAATCGAAAAAACGGAATATGAATGAATGAAAACTAAGGAAATCGGAAAGTCGAATAATTGAGAAATCCAAATTTAAAAGTTAGAAAAATCAAAAAATGAAAAATTGGAAAAACGGAAATAACGAAAAAATGAAAAATCGAAAAATGAAAAATCGGGGATTTGAAAAATTCGAAAGTCGACAAATCGCAAAATTGAAAACTCGAGAAATTGTGAAATCGAAAAATCAAAAAATCGAAAAATCTAAAAATGGAGAAATTGAAAACTCGGAAATTGAGAAATCGAAAAATTGTAAAATCGATAAATAGCGGAGTCAAAAATCGAAAAATATAGAAGTCGGAAAATGGAGTCGAAAATGGAAAAATCGAAAATTCGAAAATTCGAGAAATTGAAATATTGAGATGTTGAAAAAGTCGAAAAGTGGAAAAATCAAATTATCGAAAAATTTAAATACCGAGAAATTCAAAATCGAAACAAAGAAAAATTGGGAAATCGCGAATTGGAACGAAAAATCGGGAAATCGAAAAGTTGAAAAGTATAGAAATCGAGAAATCGGAGTCTAATAATTTGAAAAAACCCAAAACTAGAGAATTGAAAAATCGAAAATTTGAAACATCCAAAATATTGGAATATCGAAAAATCGAAGAATAAAAAAACATTAAATCTTCTTGATTTCCAATTTTTAGGTTTTTCAAAGTTTTATAAATTTTCGTTTTTTCAGTATTTGATTGTTCAATTTTACAATTTTGTAGTTTTTACATTTTTTTATTCGAAAAGTTGAAAAACCAAAAAACTGAAAAATCGAAAACTGAAAAAAAAGAAATTACAAAATCTAAAAAATTGAAAATCGAAAAATTACAAACTGAACTGAGGAAACGAAAAATTGAAACACTGAAAAACAAAACATCGATAAACTTAAAAATCGAAAAATTGGATAGGAAAAACCAATGAAATCGAAAATTTGGAGTCGCAAAATCGAAAAATCCCAAAATTGAAAAATCCAAAAATCGAAAATTAGAAACTCGAAATGTCGAAAAAATGGAAGAATAGAAATTGAATATTTATAAAATTGAGAAATCGAAAAATTGAAAAAACGAAAAATCGAGATATTGAGAACCCGAATAATCGGAAGATCGAAAAGTCGAAAAATCGAAAAACTGTAAAATCGAAAAATATAGAAATCGATAAATCAAAAAAATTGAAAAATTGACAATTTGAATCATCGGAAAGGCAAAAAATGAGAAAACCGAAAAATCTAAAATTTGAAAAATTGAAAAATCGAGAAGGTGAAAAATCGAATAGTCCGTAAATCGAGAACTGGAACGAAAAATCTAAAAGTCGAAAAATGGAGAATTCGAAAAGTTGAAAAATATAGAAATCGAGAAATCGAAAATATGAAAAATTGAAAAGTCTAAAAATTTCAAAAATCGCAAAACTACAGAATTGAAAAATCGAAATTTGGAAACATCCAACAGTCGAAAAATTGAAAAATCAAAAAATTAAAACATCCAAAACATTGAAATATGGAGAAACAGAAAAATAAAAAACCATAGAATTTTCTTGATTTCCAATTTTTAGGTTTTTCAAAGTTTTCATTTTATACTTCTTCGTTTTTTCATTTTTAATAGTTGAATTTTACAATTTTGCAATTTTTATTACATTTTCTTGATTCGAAAAACTGAAAAATCGAAAAATTAAAAACCGAACAACTGAAAAAACTAGAAAATGCAAAATCGAAAAATTGGATAGGAAAAACGAATGGAATCGAAAATTTGAAAGGTCGAAAAATAAAAAAAAATCAAAATTAAAAAATCCAGAAATTGAAAATTAAAAAATCGAAATGTCGAAAAACCGAGAAATTGAATATTTTAAAAATTGAGAAAGATGGTAAAATAAAAAAATATACAAATCGAGAACTCGGAAAATTGAAAAATGGAAAATTCGAGAAACTGAAAAATAAAAAGCCAGGAAATCTTCTTGATTTCCAATTTTTTTGGTTTTTTTAAGTTTTCTTTTAATATATTTTCGTTTTTTTCATTATTTGATTTTTCAATTTTTACATTTTTTTATTCGAAAAGTTAAAAAATCGAAAACTGAAAAATCGAAAAAACGTAATATGAATGAATGAAAACTAAGGAAATCGGAAAGTCGGATAATTGAGAAATCCAAATTTAAAAGTTTGAAAAATCAAAAATTGAAAATTTGAAGAACTGAATCGAAAAAATATAAAAACGAAACATTGAAAAAATGAAGGAACTGGAAAGACTTCAAATTGTAATTTAAAACCGAGAAAGTGAAAATTAAATTCGTGCCCCCGTTATTAATAATGAAATGATTTGTCTAATAACGATACCTTAAAACTAATTGATAATGTTGTATCCAATCGTGTGTCCAGCAAAATTTCGACACGAGGTCATCAAGTTAAAACGTCTCCAAAAGTTAAACCGAAAAATGTTACAGTTTGATTTGTTTTAATCAAAAAACTAAGCGGATTCATAAACCACAAGGCTACAACTGTTTTTTTTTTTTAATTTAATGAATTAAAATACGTACGACAAGCTAAACACAATATATTTCGTCGAAAATACGCTTACAACCTCTCTAA